CAATTATTGATTGCAGCTGATGAACTTGGTCTTGAGTTATTTTGTGAATACACAATGAAGTACTTTATCAAAAAACATGAGGATTATATTAAAGACAATCCAATTAGCATCCTAAGATCAATCTACTCTCATGAAGAACAATTTAAGGAATTGAAAAATCTTTGCCTAGAAAAATCTTGTGATTATGGCAAGAGATTATTCCAGTCAAGTGAATTTGAATTATTGGAAAAACCAATTTTATTGGCTATACTTGAAAGAGATGATTTTTATGTTGATGAAATAATTATTTGGGAAGGAATTCTTAAATGGGGATTAGTCAAACATCCAGAAATTAATAATATTAATTATGTTAAAGTTTGGACAAAGCAAAATTTTATTGATTTGGGAAACACATTAAAAGATTTAATTTTATTGATCAGATTTAAAGATATCACTAATAAGAATTTTCGTTCCAAAATTATGCCTTTTAAGAAACTTTTTCCTAAGGATTTATGGGAAAAACTTTTAGACTATTATCTGGATTCTGATGAACAACAAACTTTAAATTTATTACCATCAAGAATTATTCCAAAAAGTAAATCAATATTTCCAGAACTTGAATCAGTAACAATTAATCAAATTCTTACATTGTTTTTTGCAAGTTGTTTTGATAAAAAAAATCCACTATACACTTCATTCAAAGAAGTAAAATATGAATTTAAACTTTTATATCACAGTAGTAGAGATGGTTTAAATGCAAATGTGTTTCATCAAAAATGTGATAATATCAACAAAACACTTATAGTTGGGAAAATACAAAATTCAGATCAAATAGTTGGAGGTTACAATCCCCTCAATTGGAATGGAAATAATGAATATAAAAATACAACTGACAGTTTTATATTTAATGTTAGTAATAGAAATGATATTAATACTGCACAATTTAGTTATGCTATTAATGGTAAACGTGCAATTTATTGTGATCCTTCTTATTTACCTAGATTTGGCAGTGGGCCTATTTTGCTGAGAGATCTCGGTTTTTATGTTAATGGTATTATTAAATGTGAATCTAATGTTTATAATAACATCAATATAGAAAATAGAAGTAAATTTGATGAATTGGAAGTTTTTCAAATAATTGATAAAAATTAAAATAATTGAAATATATAGATTATTACTTATTTTATTGTTGTTTTAAGAATCAATTTATATGTAATATTAATAGCTTTTTAAAACAATTTAACAAAATAAACCTTTTTTGTTTACATTGGCATATCTCCTTACCAGTCAATATTGTGAGATCAAAATCCGCGTCTCACACAAATCTCTTGATTTTTATTTATGATGACATGCCGATACAATTTCCCATTTATTTATACTAAATCGTAATAACAATTTCCGCGAATGTATATTTATTCTTTACTCTCAAAATTATCTTTTACTATCATTAAACAATTTCTTATACTAAGAAATACTAAACAATATCTTTTTTTTTAGATTTTACACTATTTATCCTGATCACGTTTCTTGGTGGGTGCCCTTCTAGCCGTTTTCCTCTTTACTACCAAGTCAGGTACGTCTCCAAAACTACTAAATAAGGTTTATTAATATTACCTC